ATTACACGCGTTACAGAGGTCAGAGGAGCTTTGTAATCGGCGATCGAATCGAAACAGTGCAACTCAGCACGCGCATAAATTCATATTTTATCGCAGAATGCATTATGCATCGTTCCGGCATATTTTAGCTGCAGTTTTTGCTCTGTTGCATTTCACCCGCATTAAAATGAACCGCAGAGTTTTGCTATGCAACGTGTTTTTAATCGTGCGCGTTACAGACAGGTTTTGTAAACGGCTCGGTTATTCGAGTACTCTCCGCCACGTTGTTCGCGTATTTTTCGTTTTTCACTGCATCAATACGTCGAATTCATAGAATTTTATTTACTACACTATTCGTTAATTTCTCGTCATTAGAATACCTCGTATATCAATGAATTTTTATGTTTCATCCCCCATCTTTCCTCTCGGCTTCGGGTTAATGCTTCTTCGCTCGTCGCTGTTTTTTCTTTTTTTTTTTTAATAATTTTAGGTAGATAGAATCGATGATAAATCTTCGTTATGTTTTTAAGTGTTATTATAATATATGGAATAATTGATATCCATAAGCGTTTTAAAATCATAATCACGGGATCCTAAAGCGACAATGATTTTTTGAACGGTGTTTCGCAAAATTTCGTGATCGAGTGAATCCGGTTTGTTACTTCGTAAAACGTTGAATCAAGCTCGTTAAATCGTGCGACGATTTAACAATCGCAAGGAAAAACAAAAAGTTTATTTTTCTGATTATTTTCTGTAATTTTTGTAACGGAATGTAAAATTCCAATCGTTTCGAGCGTTACGCGTAAATAATCTCAGGAGAAAATTTATTTTCTATACACGCACACATATATGTATTTTTTTAAAAATTAAAAAATTACGCCTAACGCGTAAACGTTATTACCATTGCCAATAATTTATGATATCGTTAATATCTTTCTTCCTCCCCTCCTCTTTTTTCCTTACTATTTATGCAGAAATAAATAAAACGCGTATGAACGCGATAGATTGGTATCTCTTATAGAATCGATAATAATTAATTCGCAATCGAGTATCGGCAATAAAGAGAAGAGAACCGTGAAATATTCATTTTAATACATAGTATATTGTGTCAAAGGTTAAAAAATTGGATGAAAAATAATTTATACGCGCGCGCGATTCGACATAAACACAAGCGTGTTTCCCCCGGAACAGATATTAAGATTGATTTCAATTATCATTCATGGTGTTACGCAAATTTATATACAAATAAAAAAAACGGCAACACAGTTTACAAAACACGGTAATAAAACGGGCGCCGACTGTTTAAAATGAAACACGATTCGTTTTTGCAATATTTATTTAAAACCATAACGTTTAAAAAGCGTTGGAACTCGGCCCACGAGTTGAAAAACGTATCGCGGCCAACGCGATATTAGCCGTATAATTGAATATAGATCGAGGTGCGAACATTTTTCCAATGTTATTAACAAAATATAAACGGTGAGTAGAATTTTATATAATTGGAAAATTGTTTTCAAATATAATTTCACCTCCGATAAAAAGTGTGTTCCACGCGTTGTTAAACGCCAATTATAAGAGGCATCGCCTATCATTTCCTAATTTAACGAGCGCAAAACAATTTTATCGAGGTTCATTAACCACGATTTATAAAAATAAACAGCATAATCCTAACCTCAATTTAACGAGCTCGAAAACTTTATCTCTTCATCTTTTTTTTAATTAATCGCTTAAAATTGTCGTCGAATTTCGAAAAGGAAATTGTTTCATTTTCGATTCATTCGAGAGACGCAAGATTCCTATATATTTTTCCTATTATTTAATCATCAGGGTCGCTGCTCGAATATTATTTTCCCTCCTTATCTGTTTATTTCGTTTCTTATTGTTGGGAGTCAAGGTCGTAAGGAAACATCCCTATCCGACGTGCCACGGAATATTTAATTAGTTTTTCCAGCCGACAGTTGCCGTCCATAAATGTTAATTGCAGATGAAGTGGTAATAAGAAGCCGCCCCCTTCTAGTTCTCGGCGACCCGCCCTTCTCTCACCCCTTAATTCCTTACACCGCTTAACGAGTGCCCGCAAACATTATCCACCGGCAACCGCTATAAAAACGCATCTTTCTCTCGTTTGAACGATACACGTTGCGCATCTCCGTCAAATCATCTTCGATCTTAACTCGATCTTAAATCGTATCGAGAGACGAAGCTCACGCTTTTCACTTGTTCGAAATCGATGTAAAATACAGGAGGAAGAAATCGCTAAAGATGGTTAAAAAGTAACGCTGAAGATTAAATTTAACGATCGATATTCGATCGTGAAGGA